ACTCACCCTGTTTGGAGTTGTACTGCTCATCGCTCAGCTCGTACTTCTGGATATTGCTCGTGTCCTCGAACTCACCCTTCTTGCACGTCTTGTCCTCCACCTGCGGTGCGCGCCAGCACGTGAGGCACCAGCCGATCGCAGGCGACCTTCGCACAGGCGACAACTCAGCGCCAGAGGTAAACGATAGAATGCTGAGACTAGGCTCGTGCTGTAGTCCGTCTGGGACGGGATCGATTCTGACGCCGGCTCACCACGCACTGAGATGGCTTTTATATGCACTTTGATTATTTAACTGGTGATCATGTATAGTTGGAGGAAAAAGGCACGCAATGACAGCATGGCAATTACGTTGGTTTCGGATTCAATTCCAGTTTTGATCGTAGTTGACCACAAGTTTCTTAATCCACTACCAGGCTGCCTGAAGTACGACTTTCAAGGCTTCGAGTCATTACGGATGGAGACTCATACTTCTTGCCTCAGTGGGCAGTAATACGACCAGGCGGCATAGTAAAATACCGATTCATGGTATTAAACTCATGTCGTGTGTATATGTCAGCCGGCTTTCTAAGAACGCTCATATTTTACGAAAAGCTGTAAGGACTACTTCATGCAGCCACAGCTTTATTAATAGAATTCAGGAGTGAGGCGAGTTTTCACTGCATTCAAACACTTCAAGCTGTGGTGCCTTTGCACCCCCGGTCACAATAGGTGTCGGTAGCACACCGTCAGCAATGAGCCCGAGGGTAGATATTCCTCCAGCAAAGACAGACGTGGCCCACCGCAGCCGGCGGACAGTCCAGGCCTGACCGAGGGTAAGCCGGCTGGACCACGTTAACGCCAGCGCCGGCACTGTCGCGTGGGTGCGCAGGGGAGGTCCCGTCGTGCCGCGGTGTAACATTACATCGTGCGTAGGAGGGGATAAGTTTTCCAATAACAGACCAGTCGGCGACATACCGGGCGGGAAGCGAAAACACGCCAGCAGGGAGCAATTACCGGAGATAATACGCGGACCGTGTGCGGCAGACAGCGGGTTGAAATTCGATCATGCCTTTTGGAGCGGAAAGGCAGGGGGGGGGGGGGGCGATGGAGCAGAAGGCACCACTGCACTACTGAAAACGTCTAACGATAGCCCACTGATAATGTTTCGTAGCAAGTGAATCCACATTCATGCCTTCCCTCTTCCCCCTACTCGAAGTCACTATGCTACAAGCCGTCAGCATAGCCGACAACGGAAAGCGTCCAGTCAGAGTACAAATGCCGACATATCCATATGTGCGAGTCCAACACGTCTTCACAGACCTCCTCACAAGGCGCAGACACCAAACAGTACTACCTGCGCCGCACTCACGTGTAAACGCATACCCTCGTCGACCGGGAAGGAACCGAGCAGCGCGGTCTCGCTGTCCATGGCGCACACGAACTGGTCCTGTTTGTCGTACAGCGAGAGCCGCATGGTGGCCGCCGAGCCGCCCGTCACCAGCTCCAGTTTGTTCTGCGGCGGTCAGCAGGGGTCGGACCAGGCCCGCGACTCGGCCGGTCTCGGCGCGGCGAGCATGACCAGCGCCCGGGCACGGGCGCCGGCGAGCACGGACCGGGAGCCGTGCCCAGTCAGTTAGCTATTGAGTAAGGGACCGTCGACTGCCTCGGTTATTTGCGTCTGGGACCGTGCCGCCACGCGCCGTCCGGCTGACACCTGGGGAGACTATGGTGCGGCAGACAGCCCCGGCGCTCACGAGAGAACAGCCGACACCAGCCGGAACGGACCACGATCAACGGAGCGTCCTCCCGCCGTGGATGCCGCACAGCGGTCACGTTCGGTCACACATTAAACAGGCCCTGCATCAACGCCGCGCCGCACGCTTCCACGGCCTGACACTGACAGCCTTGCCGGGGCTGCCACGTGGCTGAAGTCACGATAAGGCGTTCTCTTCATCTGAAGGCCTGGGGTTCGGTTCCCCACGGCTGCATATTTTACAAGTGCTGACGTGCCAGTTGGCGTAATTGGTTTCGGTACGAATGACCGTATGTTTTACTCGTTACATGATGCACGAATAACAATCATCGCGCGCATGAACAGTGTAACACGATATGGCGACTCGTAGCCAACTACAAGCTGCGATTTATCGACTGTGCGTGCCTCAAGTAACATCAAAATTGTCTGCGTCATAGATGACTCCGGTCTGTCATGGGGTGACAGTGTCTCCAGTGCCGTGAAAAAGTGCAATGGCATCCTCGTTTCCTTGCACAAATTTCGTCATCACTTAAGACTTTCTCAAAATTATAATCCAGGCGTGCGTGTTCTCTCGTATCACGTACTGTCTGTGCGTGAGGAGTTGGGCGACCAGGGGTTATTAATTATATAAAATAACCACACAAAATTAAAAAGCCTTCAGGGTAACTGAGGAAGGCAGGCGGACCTCGCGGGGTCCGCGCGCTTTCTGTTCCACGCGTCGATGTTTCGACCCGTCAAACGCGCGCCTCGGACAGAGGTAGTCTGCACCTGCGCAGGCACCGATTGGCTGCCCCGCAGGGGGGGGGGGGGGTTCTCGGTTCGCAAGGGGGTTCTCGCATCAGACCGCAGCTGTCTGGGACCGCCTGTCATCGTACGCCTACGTTTGTAGGCGCACGTCTCAAACGTACGCGTGAGATCTCCATACGTAGCGTACATCTGACCACTGACCACTGACCACTGATCTAGCCCATAATGCATTGATAGGTTTAACACTTGCTCGTAGTCATTGCTCGTATCATTTCATTGCACCCCTTTAATGTGTGCCTTCTTATGCTGCACGCTTTAGTGTAAAGTTTGAAGCACGACCATGTCCTGAGACCGTAAAAGCCACCTTGCGGATGGTTTCCAACATACTGATACCGATACTGATTAGCTTCCATTTGGGCGAGAACACGCCAGGAGAAAAGTAATTTCCGTTCCTAGTCTATAGGTTGCCTCCAGGACATATATAGTAAGCAGGCGTTTTACGTTACAAATATCTTTGGACCGCTCTCTGACGATAGTCAGATAGGTCATGCCAGACGACAGTCACATGACTTACATGAATTTTTTAAAGTATCTACTACCTACAAAGCATGCCTTTCAACCCGTGCTGTCTCACCTTCAGCGCCAGAATCGTAAGACTTTTCTGAAATCGTTTCTGCATCGGGAACTGGGTAATATTGCTAGTGACCATAACATTGACTGTGTCGGCAGTGACCACTTGATATTCAGCCATCTTGGAGAATTTCAGATCGGCGAAGCTAGCACGTGACACACCCGGACGACAAGGGCGATTTCTGAAACAGAGATGGACGGCGGCATTAGCAGGGCAACATCCGGCAGGAACCTTAACAGGTGGCACACATCAGTATTTTAAGTTCCCATGTTCTAGCAATGCTGGTATTGAGGCGCACCAGGATAGATAATCGAGGATTGCGGGACGAACAAGACACCACCTACTATCCGAGCATTCCAAATGCTTTTCGGATTCGGGATTTTACGCCCGGCTGTACGACAGCGTACGTCATGGTTTAGACGAACTGAAATGGCCACAGTGCGATGCGGAGCATACCTTGGCTTGGACCCCAGCATCGTGAAGGTTGCACGTTCCCTTTAATAAAAAAAATCTGGTGAAAAATACAAGGGGCTTAGTCGTTCGTTGCGGACGCAAGCGATTCTTCCTAACGTGAATGTCGTAAAGGTCTTTAAAAGTTGCAATTTTACGCGGCGCAAAAATCAAAGGTTCCGCACGCCGAAATGCTCGTTTCGATGTTTCTCGCGAACTTGCATTTTCAAGACGTCTTCGACATGCTAATATTTGGAAATGACTTCCTCTCCTTACCAAACACCTCGATTTCCGAGCGCTCAGAGTTCCAAGCTCTGCACAGGATCTTGCTTGTCTTGGGTGACCATGCAGCACGAGCGACTGAATGACTGAGCCATGATGAACCAGTGAATTACGCTCTTAACCTGCTTCATACAGTTAACCGCACTCAACTTATGTAACCATCAGGTGTGCGTGTGCGTGTCATGCATATATTTTTACATGTGGATCCACCGAGCATTAGCACCTCGGCACCACCTCGGAATAATGATACATACGTAAGCTCTGAACTTTTCCGACCGACAGCCATAAGGCACACAATCACGGCATATGTATGGCTTGACTACCTACACATGCAAGCCCTATCCTCCCACGTTACTAGCATGGCCACAGGAGCCAAACACGCCAGCGACGGAAAGCAATCGCAGCTGGCATCCCGCCATCCTTCCGCCGTGCAGGCGTGCGTCCGACTTCTTCCCGATGGGTGTAAACACAACAGCAAGTCCTCGCCCGGGAGAAGGAACAAAGTGACACCGACAGGGAGTGGCGCATGAGAGGGCGTGGCACAACGCTAGCCACGAGATCGGATATTCACGGTGGCTCAGTCCCTGCTGAACGAACAGACGCCCGCGTAGCAACGTAACAGTAAGCGCACTCGTCATCCGACATCTTGCGGCTTCCTCATCACTGAGTTCACGCAGGCTTTGCAGGCCAATACCGTTCCCACAGCCCTCGACACAGAAGCACGTCCAGCATCAATGCATCCCTCATCGTGCCGAATGTGACATTTCTGCAAGCTAGGATTATTGGCAAGTAACGTAAATGGCATATGTTCTGTCGCTGTATGGCACCCGCCAAACCATACGGTGAAATAATCTGAATACTCTTTCGGCCTCTTTGACGTAACTACGATTATTGGTATTCGTCATTGTCCACCTACATAATGAGTGAGTCCTCCAGCACAGCCATCCTCGCCAGTCCTTTCTCCCAATACCGCTTCACTCCACCGGTCTTTCCTCTCCATCCCCCGACCAATCGTCTCCGCTCACCCCCATCCTTCCCCCGGACCCGGGCCAGCAGCCTCCACCACCGCCTCCTTCCAGTCGCACCCATCATCTCCAGACCGCCCGCTCAGTCCCCGCCCGTCTCGGCGGCGCCGGCCGCCGCCGGCGCCGCGCGGAAGAACACCCGCGCCGCCGCCAGGTTGTAGAAGACGAGGTCGTACTGGCGGCGCGCCTGCCGCAGCCGGCTCAGGGTCAATCCGATCGCCTGCTGGAGCTTGTCGTCGGCCGGCTCGCCGCTGCCCTGCCGCTCCGCCGCCGCCCGCTCGCGCTCCCCGTGCGCCGCCACCTCCTCGAACCAGTAGAGCGCGTCAAACGCGCTGTTCAGGTCCAGCAGCTTGAGCAGGAACGCGACGCCCATGGCGAAGCCGTCCTCGGTGAACAGAGCGCCTGAGCGCGCGCCCTTCGCCAGCCGCTCCTTGGCGGCCAGCACATGCTGCACGTGGTTGAGGCAGAGAGGCGGCACGAGCAGGTGGAAAGCGCGCAGGTGGGCGTTGCGCGGGTCGCGCAGCGCCGGCGCCAACGCCTCCTCCAGCAGACGGAAGTAGGCCGTGTTCTGGTCGCCGCTGGCCGTCAGGTCGGCGAGGCACGCGTCCAGCGTCTCGGCGGCGTCGCGCACCGCCGCGCACAGGCCGGCCCGCTCCGCCGCCGCCGCGAACTCGCCGCCGCGGCCCAGGTCCGGCACGAACTGCAGGGCGGCGCTGGCGCAGTGCAGACCGCCCGAGCGCACGAGGCGCACGAAGCCGAGCGCGCCGCCCAGCTGCGTCACCAGCTGCCGACAGCGGTCCAGGTAGCTGAGCCCGTCGCCGCTGACCCCCAGTCCTCGGATGGCGCGCTCGAACCGCTCGGCGCGCTCGTACGGGTAGCGGCTGCCGCCGGAGTGCACCGAGCGGCGGCCGTCCGACGCCAGCCGCGAGCTGATCTGCTCGTCGAACAGGAACTGCGACAGCACGTTCAGTTTCTTGCGCAGGAACTGGTAGGTGAAGTTGACGGTGGTATTGATGATGCCGGCGCCGTGCGTGCGGATCGAGTTGGCCACGTGCGTGATGCCGATCGTGTTCAGGTGCTTGTTGTTGCTCTGTCGCTCCACAAAGAACTGGTTGGTCAGATTGTACGCATAGTGCGCTACGAACACGTGGATATTCCGCATCACCTCCAGCACGTCCAGGCCCTGCTCCAGCGTCTGGCCGGGCAGGTGCGGCTCACACGTGGCCAGGCCGTACTTGAGGCGCGCCAGGTGGCGCATCTCGGCGTACGTACGCCAGTCGTGCTGCGCCACCGCCGTCAGGTTGTAAAACGTGCGCTCCAGGTAGCGCTCGCAGTGTCGGCGCACGCTCACGCTGCGCGAGGGCAGCCGCAGCGGCGGTTCGGCCAACAGGCGGCGTCGGTCGCGCAGTCCCACCTTGAACGGATTGCGATCGTCCAGCTGCAGGTGGGCGTGCACGTCCAGGCGCAGCTCCGTCTCGACGTCGGCGCAGAGCGGCTCCAGCATATTGGCGCGCAGCGCCGCCACCAATTCGTCCTCATAGAGGCGCACCAGGCGTCCGGCCGACAGGTGGCGGCAGTGGCGCAGCAGCGCGACCGGGTCGCGCAGCGCGGCGCACATGAGCCGCAGCCGGCGAGCGTCGTCCGGTCGCGCGGCCACGTCGCGCAGGTACGCCGGCAGCAGCGACCGCGACCAGTACACGAAGCGGCAGTCGGCGGCGGCGCGCAGCCGCGCCGGCAGCCGCGCCGCCAGCTGCAGGTGGCGCAGCAGCTCCGCCACCTCCGCCAGCTCTCCGTTGCGGAACACGCCCGGCTGCGTACAGAGTGAGAGCGCCAGCCGCGCCAGCAGGTGGCGCTGGCGCGTCGGCGGGCCGGCCACCGCCTGCGCGGCCGTCTCCAGCGCCGACACCAGGTCCAGCCGCTCCGCCGCCAGCTTCTTGTCGGCGGCGACGCGGACGCGAACAGTCTCTATTAGCCGGACGGCGCGGAACTGCGCGTGCTGCGCTGCGCAGCGCGCCGTCAGCCGCACCCACGCGTCGCTCGATTCCGCCGCCTCCTGCAACGCCTTGAGTAACTCCAGCTGCCGGCAGACGAGCACGGCCGTCGTGGCCGACAGCGGGCGCGCCGTCGTCGCGTGCAGGTCCAGCAGCTGTCGCGCGCCGTCGCCCAGCTGCTCGGCGAGCGCCAGGCCGCGTCGCAGCAGCGCAGCGCCTTCACCGACGCTAGCCACCGTCACGCGCGCCAGATCGTCGCCGCGATGCGCCGCCACGGCCACACTCCAGGCGGCCACCTGCTGGCTCTGCTCGCGGACGGTGCGCGGCAGCGCCTGCGCCGTCTGCGCCAGCGCCGCGGCCGGCGCGGCGGCGGCAGCGTCGCGCGCGCGCCTATCCACGACCTGGTCAAAGCCGGGCAGGTGCGTGCCGAGGAAGGCGTCCAGGTTCCACACCTGGCCGCCCCCGAGCAGCACTGGCGGCCGGCGCCGTTGCAGCGCCCACAGCCGTTTGATGGCGCGCGCGTCGGCGTGGCGCGCCAGCCGCGCATGTAGCGCCAGCAGTGCGGCCACACCCACCAAACCGGGCATGTCCGGATCCGGGTCGGCCTCCTCCTGCTCCAGTTGCAGCATCAGGTTGTTGACAGTCAGCAGGAACTCATCGTGGAACGGCCGACAGGTAAGCACGGCGCGCGCCTCAGCCGAGCCCGTCAGCGGCTGCTGCAGTGTCGCGTGCAGCATGCCGGCCGCCATGACGCGCGTGTCCAGGTCGCGCAGCAGCTTCTCCAGCAGTGCCACGCGCTGTGCGTCCAGGCCAAATGGCTCGGGCTGCGGCCGCGCGCGACGCACCAGCAGCTTGTAGAGCGCGTAATGCTCGTGCAGCACGGCCTGGCGCGCCACCAGGTCGTCGAGCAGCGCGAGGGCGGCCAGCAGCTGGCCCAGGTGCTCGAACAGCACTTGCAGGTGGTACCCGGCCGTGGTCAGCTGGCGACGCGCCGGGTCGTGCAGCGCCGTCAGCTGCTGCAGTAGGTTGGCGGCCACCTGGCGGCCGCGCTCGGCGAATGCCAACAGCCGCTGCAGGGTGGGCAACAGGCGCGCAAGCTGCAGCTCGGCCTCGCCCTCGTCCAGCCCGGCGGCCGGCTCGCCCTCGCCGTACAGGAGCAGCGCCGGCGCCAGCTCGTCGTGCGCCTCGCGCTCCAGCTCGCGCACCTCGCCGCAGACGGCCGCCAACGCCAGCAGCACCTTGGTCAGCAGGCGGTTCTCGCCGGCGGCGAGGCGCGGCAGCACGCTGCGCTCGTGCGGCTCGGCGCACAGCCGCACGGCCGGCGCCGTCGCCGAGGACAAGGCGACCCTGGCGCCGGCCGACGCCGCCTCCAGCCGACGTGCGTGCAGCTCGAGCAGCGCCGAGTAACGCCGCAGCAGCTGCTCGGCCACGCGGCCGTGCAGTTCCGGCGTGGCCCGGAACGGCTCCATCGCGACACGAGCAACGCGCGGCGCGGGGCGGCAGGCCCACCTGCGGACAGGGGATATCTGAGCGGCTCACATGACCGAAGCAGCGCTGGATGGACCGTGCCTGACTGCCAGAACCAACTTTAAATAGACCTGGACAGCCATTTAAGAGCTAGTTGTGCAAAACGTGGCAGCGAGTACTTTTTTTTCTAAAGAGCTCATTAAAAGCTTATAATTCACATGGTTCCGCGACATGAGAGACTGGTCAAATATCCCCTGTATGGCACCGCCCACAGAACAAGAACGCGCCGACTCACTAACACACACGAGCATACCATGGGGGTAAGAACTTGTCTTATTGTAGAACAATGACAAGAACACGAAACGCCACCGATGTATCTTTACCAAAGCTGTGCCGCATAATTTGAGTCAACCTCGCAAGAACGCAACGACCTTTCCATCCATCTTGCCGCCCTGGCGTCAGCTGAAGCTGATCGCCAGTGGATGAGCAGCCTCACTCTGATCACATGCACCCAGCCGACGCAGTGTGGCTTCTACGACACCGGAGAGCTGACCCTAAGCAAAGCAGCGCTAAGCAACTCCGCGGAGTGCGGTGGCGCTGATGCATGCAAGGTCGTCCCAGCGTTATATGCGGGGCCGTTGTCGGGCGTATAAACCATAGACAAGGCCGTCCACTAGGGCGCGAGATCGAAGGTTATGCGTCGTCAGATTCCTTAAACGTGTAGAATAATGAAGACAAGTATAATCAAATAAAAAGGCAGAACCATACAGATTGGACATCAGGCAGGATGACTTGGGACTGGGGAGCTTTTGAAATGTGCAAATGGACTTTTGGCAATAACAACTAAGCAGACAATGTCACTTAATGGTGTGGAAGGCTTGTATTTAATTCCAGGATGATACTAGCTAGCACCCTGGGCACCACTCTGATAATGATGGTCACCAGTGGTCCAAAATGAAAGCAACTTTTTTTACAAATTGACCACTTCTAAGTGGCCCAGGTGTTCACATGCATTCACTTCCAGCTCCTCCAACACCCTCATGGAATCAGGAGGAAAGGTACAGCTTGCTGGGGAATTGGGGGACACTCATCCCTTTGCTTCAGTGAGACATGAAGGCATGTTAGGACATGGCAGACTGGGTTAAAAAGATGTATCAGTTGGAGATCCTGAACATAGTGTTTGTGTCATTACGCTAGTGGCTCAACAATGCATCGCAGCTCTATCATTCATTGTGCCCAACAGTTCAAAAAGCCAACATAGTTATAAAAACTAGGTATATATATATATATATATATATATATATATATATATATATGTTAATTATATTATATATGCTTACAAATGATGTAATGCATTTCATTTAATACCATACATAATATTCAATACATACCTTTCATACAATACAAAATAAATACAACTTACAAAATATATTACATCTGCTTACAAATGATGCAAATGATTCCATTTGTGTAGGCAGTTCAGTTCAGTTCTTGTCTTGTTGTCTTGTCAGTTCTTGCCTACACAAATGGAATCATTTGCATCATTTGTAAGCAGATGGTCATTACAGAGTCCTGGGCAAATGCATCTGTTCCCTTCCAACATCCTGGCATGATAAAAATATCATGCTTGACCTAGACATAGATCTCTACTGACATACAGGGCTTGATATGAATATAATGTGGTATTTGTTGTTGTATGCACTTGTGGTATTTCACATTATTCTGTGTCAGGAAAATATAAATAAACAAAAATAATATGTCTTGAGTGATTTTCATAAAACCACTACAATGATAAAAAATTGTATTTCTGAGCATTATACCAAACCATTGGGCTGGTCTATAATCTAGTCAGATACAACATTTTACTTAAGCATTCCTTTTCTATTTTAACCCCAGGATACACACGACTATGCAGTGTTGACCCATTAGTGATGTCATCTTGGTGACCCAGTGTGACTATGGGTCAGTGCTACTAAATCAAAATGCTGCTGCTCCACCACAGTTCAAGATGACAGGGAGGTAGAGGTATAGGTTGCAAAGTAAGCTGGGGCTCCAAGGGGAAATGGCTACCTCTACTCCTAATCATATCAAATGATGGGTTTCTTCTCAGATTAGACCCACTTGCCTCTCAAAGTAAGTGGAGGGTGCTGTTCACAAGAGAATAGAATATTAGACCACTGTGTGAGTGCATAACCAGTAATGCTCATTGAGTTTTAAGCCATTTCATGGACATGGGTCACACTCAAGCAAACTATGGCTCAAAATTTACCAGGCATTAATACTTGATCTGGCTGGAGGTCAAACATGAAGTCACTAGTCATACATTGACTTTATCAATGAAATACATGGTAGCAGCATACAGAACATGCTTATCTTCATTTCAACCTGCTATCTTCTACAGGGTTATGCAAGATGATTCTATTCTTAGCTGCCTGCCTGTCCCATAAAAACCTGAGAAAATATAGAACAGCTCATTTTATCAAACATCCAAGAAAATAATAAAGCAACTATCACATGAAACCTACTTGCTCTTGTGCCTTACAATGAATCTAGGGCATAAATTTTGCTTGGGCATATCTACTTTTAAGGACCTACTTGTAGTGTTTGACCCGTTCTAGTTTTTTAGCCTTAGACTAAAAAATGTGCTGGAACCAAAGCACTTGCAGCACAATACCAAAAATAAACATTATAAGAGATTTGTAAAGCATCCTTTTCTCAAATATAAGTTATCACTTCAATCTATTCCCCAAAATTATTGCACTTCAACTGTAACTGTCCATTCTGAGCACTACTTTGTACCATTTTGTATGACAAACCACCACTATTATACTGATACAGGTCAGCAGCCACCCAGAAGGCAGCCTGGAAGCTTGTGGTTTTGCTGGATGAGCTGAACTGAACCTGTGGTGTGATGAACAGCGCACTGAACCCCAAGCTTGCATGTGGCCAACTCAGCTGAGGCCAAATTGTGCTGAAATGAATGAGGTTGTACTGATGAAGAAAAAAAATTAAGGCACAAATGCATGCAATTACCATTGCCACATCACCATTCCTTGAAACATTTGCCTTTTTATGCTAAGATCTGTAAAGATAGGCACCATCCTCTGCTCATTATAGCTCTCAGATTTACAATGTACATAGGCTTTTGTTGTTGCTGCAATTTTGCTGCCACACCCTGGATGCATCTGGCTAAACATGCGTGTCTGCAGTCGGGCCCCAGTGGCCACAGGCCAAATATCTTAACCACCACCCCTGGTCCAAGAATACAAGGCCATCACCAATCATGATGGTTTTGCTATTTCTTCATTCAGAGTTTCTAAATGGCACTTCATTTAACTCCCACTGTTGGGTAATAACCCCGGCTTACGTCTCCTGTCCTGGCTAGATCCCAGCTAATGGGCAGGGTCTAAAAAAAACTTGCGCCGCCGTGGTAGCTGTCCCACGTACTTTAGAAGACAGCCACTTCAACGAAGCCATTCGCCAAACAGCGAGGCATAAATTACAAATATTAACGAATAATGCACGTACCTCAGCAACCGGGCGGGGCCTGAACCCTTCCACCTCAAGCTAACAGCGGCGCTTCAAATGGTGGGTGCGGCGAGGACGACTGCACCAAAACACTGCCTAAAATCCAATTAAGAGGTCATACCTGAAGGAAAGCAAACACATGGTACCATTGGGGTAGGAATAGAATCCGCAAAATACAAATGCTTAGTATAAATCAATAACAGTCTATGTTTAAGTTGTTTGCTGTTTAGAATATGAGATCAGATGTGAGTTCCGCTGGAGAGACCTTACAACGGGGCGAAGTGGTTCACAATTCACGACAAAGGCGATCGCGCCTGTGGTATGACCAAGAAGTATGTATTACACGTTTCCTGCCATAGCGTGCACTACGAGAAATGATGCATTCAACTTTTGGTTACAGGCGAGCCCCACGACAGGTCTTCATTGCAAGGCTCCAGCACCGGGTATTCTGCTGCACTAACATGACATGATATGGCAAGCAGCCGCACGGTCAAGGCGTTGACAAAGAAGAGGCACAAGGTCGACAAAAGGTCCTCTGATGGCAAAAGACCTCACCCCCAGCCCCATCCCCACCCCAAAAAATCACCGGATGGGTCCATTTGTTAAGGGCATGTTTTTTATATTGGTTTTCTTGTTATCAATGGAACAGAAGCCAGAAACAACCACGAGATAGCTTGATGGAAACGAATGAGAGCAGTAGACTCAAAATGGTCTGCCAATAATCCTATTTCATTTTTCAGGGTTTTTAATGCGAATCGCAGTTTTAACAGATCAATTACATTGAGAGGATTTAACAAGGAGCAATTGTCAGCCATTACTTCGATACAGTGCAAATTTAACTAAGACGAACGCGCGAAAAATACGTGCACATGGGTGCGAGATTAAGAAAACAGCCTTCATGTATCACGCTTCATTCAAAACATGAAAACGATCTCAAGAAAACAAGCGTCACGCATTATGCACCGACTAGGCATGCAAACGACCACCATTAAACATGCATCGCGCATCACGCGTCTGGCGTCACTCATACATGTAGACGACGCGGCAAGCGGGACATTTACCTGCCACGCCTGGGATGGTGCGCCGGTCATAACAGGATTTTCCCGGTGCTGGTGCGCTCGACTGAGGGAGTTTTGGATGAGGACGATAGGCTTACCTGACTGCCTCCTCAACCGAATATTACGTGTCAACCCGACATTGACGGACTCCTCAGCGACACACCATTGACCGGAGAGGTCGATTTGCCCCCCACCCCGTCGCCTTGCTTATCCTAAGAACGTCCGGACCGGGTTCAAAAATTAAAATAGTAATCGATATCGCCGTGGTAGCGCAGTCTCAGAACATTAAATAACGGTGAGTTTAAATTGTATTAAGGTTACAATTCAGGCTTAACTTGTAAAAGCTACTTAGGAATTTCTGACCGCGACTACAACGCATTTCATTCAGAATCGTGCCTTGTGGTTTGAAATCATTG